GACCCCTCGATCCACAGGTAGATGCTCTATCCACTAAGCCAAATGGAACAGGGCTAATTTTTTATTTTTATTTTTAATTAAAAAAATATATTTTAATTGATTTTTTACAGAGAGGAATAGAGTTAGAAATACAGATGAGAGAGAAACATCAATCATCTGCCTTCTGCATAAACCCCTACTTGGGATGTGCTCGCAACCAAGGTACATGCCCTTGACTGGAATCGAACCCGGGACCCTTCAGTCCGCAGGTTGACGCTCTATCCGCTAAGCCAAACCAGTTAGGGCTAATTTTTTATTTTTTAATTTAAATACTTTATTGTTGAAAGAATTTAAGGACATTTGTCTCCTTCCCCACCCTCCCACCCCAATTTACCACTCCCTACCTGCTCCCGCCCCCAGCTACTCTCACCCCTCTACTGTCTGTGTCCATTGGTTATGCTTACTAAGTGTACCTGTTAATAATGTGGATTTTAGCCGAAACCGGTTTGGCTCAGTGGATAGAGCGTCAGCCTGCAGACTGAAAGGTCCTAGGTTCGATTCCAGTCAAGGGCACATACCTTGGTTGCCGCACATCCCCGGTGAGGGAGCGTGCAGGAGGAAGCTGATCTATGTTTTTCTCTCATCCATGTTTCTGACTATCTCTCTCTCTTCCTCTGTGTAAAAAAAACAATAAAATATATTTTAAAAAATTATACGGGTTTTGTAATAAAAGAAAACAGGATAATTCCAAGAGAAACATCATAAGTGCTTTATTCAAAGTAATGTCCATCACGAGCTACAGATTTCCCCATATTTCAGGTAATTTGTGAATACCGTCCACATAGAACTTTTCTTGTTTTAAGGCAAACCATTCAGAGACCCAATTTTCCACTTCGTATGTTTTTAAGTGCAGCTCAGAAAGTGAGTGTGCCATAGATCAGAACAAGTGGTAATCTTAAGGAACAAAGTCTGGTGAATACAGCAGGTGGGTTAATACTTTCCAGGCAAGATCTTTTAACATATCTTTAACGTTTTAAGTGTGTGATGTTGCTTTATCATGAAGCAAAATTACTTTGCCGTGTTTTCTGGTTCATTCTGGTCGTTTCATCATCAAAGCATGGTTCAAATTGATTATTTGTCATCAGTAGTGATCAGTATTAAGGGTTTCACCTGGTTGTAGAAGCTCATAATACACCACACCTTCCAGATTCCACCAAATGCAGAGCATTGTCTTCTCTCAGAAGAGATTTGGCCTTGCAATCGATGTTGATGGTAGACCTGGTTCAACCCATGATTTTGTGCATTTGGGATTCTCAAAATAAATTCACTTTTCATCGCCAGTCACAATTCGATGCAAAAAAGACTTTCTTTCATGCCTTTGAAGCAACATTTTACTGATGACTTTTTGGTTTTCCATTTGTCTTTCATTCCATTGATGTGGCACCCATTTTCCTTCCTTTAAAATCTTTCCCATTGCTTGTAAATGATTGGAAATTGTTTGCTGAGTAATGTTTAATCTTTCTGCAAGTTGTTTTTAAGTTTGACAGGCATCTTCAACCAATAATGCTTGTAATTATTTGTTTTCAAACTTTTTCAGTTGACCTGGATGGAAATCATCACTTTACTGAAACCGGTTTGGCTCAGTGGATAGAGCATCGGCCTGCGGACTGGGGGATCCCAGGTTCAATTCTGGTTAGGGGCATGTGCATTGGTTATGGGCACATCCCCAGTGGGGGGTGTGCAAGAGGTGGCTGGTCGACGTTTCTCTTTCATTGATGTTTCTGACTCTCTATCCCTCTCCCTTCCTCTCTGTAAAAAATCAATAAAAAAAAAAAAAAAAATATATATATATATATATATATACACATATATATATATAAAAAATCATCACTTTGAAAGCATTTAAACCAGTGTTCACAGTATCTTGAGATGGAGTATTTTCACCATAAGCTTCCCAAAGTATTCAGCAGCACTTTTCTTCAAAATAATGAATTATAACTTCCCACAAATACTCTTTTTTTGGCACGAAATTCGACATCTTTAAGTGTAAAAATATCTATTAAGTTAACATCTTTAGTAAATTTGACATGAAATTTTGAAGCTTGTAAATACAAAATAGCATACATATCAAATAGCATACATATCAATATATGTGTAACACCATCTATTGAAATAAACCTGATTAACAGGTACACCTTGTATATGCATGCATACAAGTCCTTTGGTTGATTTCTTATCCCCTCTTGGCCCCCCGGTGAGGCTTGTCCATCCATATTCCACAAATGAGTGAGATCATGTGATGCTTAGCATAATGCTCTTCAGGTCCATCCTGCTATTTCAAATGGTAAGAGTTCTTTCTTTTTTATAGCAGTGTGGTATTCCATTGTGTAGATGTACCTATTTATTTTTTGAAAGTGTAGTTTACTTATTTATTAATATATTTTCATTGATTTCAGAAAGAGAGCGAGAGATAGAAACATCAATGATAAGAATCACTGATTGTCTACCTCCTGCACATCCCCTACTGGGGATTGAGCCCACAATCTGAGCATATGCCTTTGACTAGAATTGAACTTGGGACCCTTCAGGCCATAGGTCAACACTCTACCCACTGAGTCAAATTGGCTTGGGCCATTTATTGATTTTAAAGAGTAAGTGAGAAAGTGAAAGAGACAATCTATTTGTTGTTCCACTTATTTATGCAATGTGCCCTGATCAGGGATTGAACCTGTAACCCTGGCATAGTGGGACGATGCTCTGAGCTATCTGGGCAGGGCCCCTCCTTAGTTTACTTATGCCTTACTTTATTTGGGTCATAATATAACTAAGGAATACATACTTCAAATTTGGATACATTAAAAATATGACATATTTGTTTTTTATATTTAAAATTATACTCTTGAAGATAAATCATTTTAAATAAGCTTTTATTGTGAAGTATAAAATATTTAGAAATTATTTTAAAAATTTCAGTTACAATGTTAACAATTCAATATTTTTTACAAGATAAAGCACCACATTAAGAATTACCTTCATAAGAAATAATTTAAAATGCATAAAATTATTTAATAATGATTACATCATTAGGAAATCATGAAATTCAGAAAAATTTTCTAACCACACATCTAAATCAGGAGTCTCAAATTCAGATGTCTTTAGAGCTAAGTAGGAAACACAAAGTAGTGACATGGTCTAAAATGAGGGAGTCCAGTAGACTGTGGCAAACTGGAATGCATGCCAATCAGAACACATTTCAAATTTTGAAATATTATACATACTAGATAAAGCAACTTTGGGCTAAGCTGGTGGGTATTAACTATCTGTTTGCAACTCGGCCTAAATGAATTTCTAGCAGTTTATGTAGCAATGCTCAAAATGGCAGACAGTACTGCTTTGTGTGTGTGGGTGTGTATGTACTTATATATGCATATATATATATTTGGGGGGAGTAGATAAAAACTGTAAGAAAAAGTATTTTGACTTTGAATAATTAATCAGTTTAGGTAACTGCTATGATATATTCGTTTTTTTCTTCTTTTTTTGAGAATTTGTTTATTTGAGCCAATGGATGACATGACATACTGGGAAATGAGATCTCTAGTGCTCCCCCAGAGATACATTCTTTTTTTTTTTTTTCTTCTTTTTTCAGAGATATATTCTTAAAACATCTAGTTAGGAGATGAAATCTTTAAAATACCTCTCTTCTAATTTATTTGGGAAAAATTAGTTATGCCCAAGGGTTTAAATGAAATATTAAAATTTTATTCTTATACCAATAGAAAGTCACACAACATAGTACATTATTGCTTAGTAAGAAATATTTACTACTATGCCATCAATGACTTAGGTAATTTTAAAAGATTTTTAAAATTAAAATGATGGAGGCATTAGAGTGACAAAATCTCCTTTGAAAAGGCTACAAAGGCACATTATAATTTAAATATCCTTACTAGACTAGGAATACATATTTAAATACAATCTGTAGATAATACAGATTTCAAATAAATAAAAACAATGCCCAAAAATATTTTCTACGTTTGAGAGTATTTTAGCTCTCAGCTTGAGAGGTTTATAAAAAGAGAGCACCAAATCTAGCCATGTAATTTTTCAATTAAAAAAGTTATTATTTATATATTTTCTGTAAAGTTTATTTAGGATGGGTTGATTAATTTTTATGGACATTAATTTTTGAAATTAAAAGGTCAAAATGATTACATTCTTGGCTTGAAAAGTGAAGTTAGATATATCACGATTTACAAACCCAAAGAAAGATATACATGTAAGAAAATGTTAAGATACAATGTCTCAATTAATGCAATAGTTATTTCCATTGTTTATGAATTGAAAGTTGTTAAGCAGCAGAAATACATTTGGCTTTTCCCTCCTAACCCAATATTAGGTATTTATAAAGGTTAGTCAAGTCTTTTGCATCATGTCTGCACTCCTACATTCATTTTAATTATTAAAAGCACTTACATACAAAAGAATCAGGATTTTTTAGAATTCAAAGTTAACAGGGATTTCATACATCATAAGTATTTCCATGGCAGAAAATTAAAGAGGAAAATAAGATTATAAATGCACTATGGATCCACAAAAGAAATAAACATGTTCCTCAAAGCAAGTCAGTAGTAGAAATATCATATAAAGGTATGCAATAAAAGCTGATGTATTACAAATTTTGACTCAGCAGCTCTGTATAAACCAATACAGTTTTTGTGAATACATTAATTTTAATTTAATAAACTATTCATAATTAAAAATGTAAAGTTTTCATAAGTAGAAATATTGAATATATGGGAGTCCCACAAGCAATAACAAAATACTTCAACATCATTTCACCCAAATATTGATTTAAAGTTATTCAAATGCATTCAAAGACTGACCTGTAACACTGAATTCCAGACTAAATAGGTAGCAATGAGATATATAGTGCTGCCTTACTGATTTCACATTGTTAAAGGATGAAACTTCTTTTATGAGAAGCGTGATGGCCACACTGGTTACATACGGTGATCCAATCAGTTAGCATATTTGTGCAGAAAGCGTTCAAATGCATCATAGATGGCTTGTCTAAAATAAAAAATGAAAAACTACAAGTAATTAGTAAAAAGGAGGAACATACATTGCTTTTACTTTAAGTTATTTCCAAAATTACCTTTGGCTTGCAACCTGACCTCCTCTTTAAAGAACTGTCAAAAAGGCAAGTACCTGAAAGGTGGGTGTTAGGATCCATTAACTTCACCACTACTAGTAAATTTCAAATGTATTTCCAACTGATGATGTGTTCAGCACCATTTTTTCCTGTGAAGCAACTTTTTGTTGAATATCAACTGGCTACATAACTTACAAAATATAGTATTAAATCTATTGCATAGATTTTTATATAAATACCTTTTGTTTATTAAAACATGTTCCTAGCAACTGAACTTAAAATAAAAAGCCACATTAATTTTACTAGGTACTTTAATTGGAAAGGAAGAATCAAATTCATTGCCCATTAAAAGACACTTATTTTTAACTTTTTCACATTGTGAGAGCTTACATTTTTATTTATTTATTCTAGAATTTAAAAAATGTCCTCTTGATTTTAGAGAGAGGGTGAATGATAGAGGGATAGAAATATCAATGAGAGATAAACATCAAAGGGCTGCCTTCTGCATGCCCTCTGCTGGGGATCGAGCCCCCACTACCCAGGCATGTGTCCTGACTAGGAATTGAACCAGTGACCTCTTGTTTCATGGATTGATGCTCAACCACGAAACCACACTGGCCAACATTTTTAGAGTAGAATGCTCAGAAAATCCAAAAACAAAAGGGGAAAATAATCCATCACTCTAAAGTATCTCCTATATTTCGCTTCTTGGCTTTTTGGCTAAGATCAAGTGTAGAAAAGTATCTCCTATAATGTTATCATATATTTCTGATGAGCCTGTGAGTTTTTGTTGTTTTTTGTCAATCTTCACCCAAGGATACTTTTCCACTGATTTTTAGAGAGAGAGTAGAAGGGAAAGGGACAGAGAGAAACATCCATATGAGATAGATACATATACATTGATTGGTTGCCTCCCACATGCACCCTGACCTGGGCAGGGGAGCGAGCCTGCAACTGAGGTATGTGCCCTTGACTGGAATTGAACCCAACTCTTCAGGCCAATGTTCTATCACTGAGCCAAACAGGTTCGGGTGAGGCTTGTTTTGTTAAAATCCATTCATTTATATTTCCACCCAGTTTAAGTAATAACTATGAGAATATATTAATTCTGTATCCAACTTGGACAAAGCATTTCTCCACACCCTTAAAAAAGATAAGATTATCTTTGAAACTGGGAACCTACTAATAGATTATGACTTCCAATATGTTGGGAAGACATAGCTTTTTATCATTTGTATTGGTCTTAGATATTTGTCCTTCATAAAATGTAACAAAAAATAAGGGAAACAAACTAATGATGAACTTTTGCATGTTGGTGTAAGCACATCAGAGATTTTATTGACTATAGGTTAGAGAGAAAGCCCTGACATGTTTGTCCACTAGACAATTTCCTCCCAAGAGTTAGTTGTGGGTACTTGCTCTACTAGAATGAATTTCTTTTACTTCCTGATGCCTAAAGTTGCAATCTGGGCTTGGGTACATGATATGAGGAAGAAAGATATGCATATGCCTATTTAATAATTTGAAGAGTCTCTTATTCACTTGTATTAATCAATTCTAAATATCAACATATCATAATAGAGCAAATAAAGGAGTGACTTGTATTATATCTGGTAATTGAAAAGAATGATTTTTTTAAGATTCTACTCCAGCGACATCCAAACTTTATTAGGTTTTGAAATGACTGGGGGTTGGAGTGGGAGGGTGAGAGTGGTTTAGGGCAATGGTCAGCAAACTCATTTGTCAACAGAGCCAAATATCAACAGTAAAACGATTGAAATTTCTTTTGAGAGCCAAATTTTTTAAACTTAAACTTCTTTAACGCCACGTCTACAAAATATACTTGCCCAGGCCGTGGTATTTTGTGGAAGAGTCACACTCAAAGAACCAAAGAGCCGCAGTTTACCGACCACGGGTTTAGGGAGAACAAATAGCTAGTGACTCCACCTAAGCAATTTATTCACTCCCCTCCTCCCATTTCTGTGTAAAGGGGTTAATAACATGAAGCAATTGCTCTAGTACTTGGCACATGGTAACAGCTAACATCTCTTCCTCAAATGAAGCTTTTAAATGAGCACTTTTGAGTTTTCACAGATGACTATGATTCTTTTTCCTAACGTCTCTCAGCCACACTCCCACTTAGATACATAAAAAACAAACATAATTTTGACACCGATTTACTAATGCAATCATGCAGACTCTCTGATTCACAAATATAACAGAACTTTAGACTCCACTTGAGCAACCTGAGCAACCCTAGATACTCACAATTTTTGTTTGTTTTTTTTGTTTTACTTTTGCTCTGCCAGAAAGTCACACTGGATACGTAGTGTACTCAATTACCAACTAACAGGAACTCAAATGCCAAATGCTGAATATAAATATTTTTTAAGAAATCATACAATAAAAAGGTTTATTAAATGCTTCAGTAGAGCCGAAACCGGTTTGGCTCAGTGGATAGAGCGTCGGTCTGCAGATCCAAGGGTCCCGGGTTCGATTCCGGTCAAGGGCATGTACATTGATTGCGGGCACAACCCCGGTGGGGGGTGTGCCGGAGGCAGCTGATCGATGTTTCTCTCTCATTGATGTTTCTAACTATCTATCTCCCATTCTCTCTGTAAAAAATCAATAAAATATATATTTTTAAAAATGTTTCAGTATATTACAGACTTAAAGAATTAGTCTGTACCTAAAAAAGATTGACATCTACAAGTTGAACTAATTAAGTAACTATACAAAGTATTTCTTAGATTAATATTAATTTAAAATATCAAAAACAGAGAAAGTACCATACGATTTCATGCATATATAGAATTTAATGAATAAACTGAACTACCAAGCAAAATAGAGACAGACTCATAGAAAGCAGGCAGACAGCTCGGAGGGGAGGGAGCATTGAGAGTGTGGACGGTGAAAGGACTGAGTAAGAAGGGGGAAAAATAGGCCTCATGGACACATACAACAGTGTGGTGATTGCAGGGAGGATGGATGGAGGTGTAAGAGGGCATAGAGGGGATAAATAGTGATAGAAAAAAATAAAATCAAACATATACTATTCTCAACTTTTCTATTTTATAGCTATCCAGCTGGAAGTTTTGGAACACTTATCACCCACAGGGCACTGACCTAAGCACTTTATGTGAACTAATTTATTTAACCACTAATGATAAATTCCAACGGTACTTTTTACCATAAATTTGAATGAAAGTTGAAATAATGAAGGATAACAAAAAATGAGTTATAGCACACAAGTTTTTATAAGTTCTAACAAATACTGGAGTCATAAAGTTATTAACATTGCCTGGCCGTTGTGGCTCAGTGGTTGAGTGTCAACTCATGAACCAAGAGGTCACTGGTTCAATTCTGGGTCAGGGTATATGCCTGAGTTGTGGGCTTGATCCCCAATAGGGGGTATGTATGAGGTAGCCAATTGATGGTGTTTCTCATTGATGTTTCTCTCTATCCCTCTCCCTTCCTCTATCTACAAAATAATAATAATAATAATAATAATAATAATAATAATAATAATAATAATAAAATAACAATAATAAAAATAACCCTAGTTGGTTTGGCTCAGTGGATAGGGCGTCGTCTGCCTGTGGACTGAAGGGTCCTGGGTTCGATTCTAGTCAAGGGCACATGCTTGGGTTGCAGTAGGGGGCATGCAGGAGGCAGCCAATCAATGATTCTCTCTCTTCATGGATGTTTTTCTCTCTCCCTTCCTTTCTGAAATCAACAAAAAATATATTAAAAAAGATGAAAAGACAATGATTGAAAAGAGAGGAAGAAGGCAAGAAAAACCGAATGTTGTCCTGGATTATAGCAAGAATATGGGTGGCGTAGATTTGGGAGATGGAGTTATGGTGGCCTACACGGCTGCCCGTAATAGGGTAAAAAAATTTTATAAAAAATTTTTCTACGATTAATTGATATGTGCTGCTTCAATGCATATATTATATACAAAAAAGTTAAAGGTCTTTTGGATTGATTACACTTTTTGATAGAGTGTGTAGAGAAATTGGTAGATAACAACGTAGTGAAAACCCACCCAAAGACATCAACAAGTAGCTCTACATTTAAACCATCACGCTTAGTTGAAAGGCATTTTCCAGAATAAATGAAAAGCGATATAGGAAAAACTAAATCCAGGAAATGCTGAGTTTGCTACAAAAAAGGTGTTAGGAAAGAATCTACATACTGGTGTCCGGTATTGTAAGGTAACACTATGTATCAACAATTGTTTTAAAATATATCACATGGAAGTTGAATTTTGAATTTTTACATCTATATTTCAATTTTTTAAACTCAATATTTCTATTTCATTTATATACTTTTGTTTATTGTTCTGTAATTGTTAACTTTTTATATTTTTTATTGTGTATAGAAATAAAAAATATATTTTTTTAATCTTTAAAAAAATATATATATTAAAAAGGAAAAAAAATCAACAAAAGCAATTAAAAACAAAAACATTACTAATATTAAAACCAATACTTGTCTTTTCATTTTAAGGTTCAACTTTTACTTGCTATTAAAAACCATTCATTGCTAGATTATTCCACAGATACTCAGGCCATTCTTAGAGAAGAATACCAGTGTGGCGTGAAAAACCTAGACAAGATTTACAAACCCTGGTGTCTCTCCCCATTCTCTAAAATACCTGGCCATTGGCATCTAAAGAGGATAAAATTAGATTAAAAAAAAAAGCATGCCTATCATATGCTACTTTCTAGTTTTCTAAAAGAAAAAAAGAGGACAAGAACGGAAAGAGTACCACAGTGTGAGAATTGAGGAAAGCAAGGAAGAAACAAGAGGACCTAGAAGATGCAATAAAAATACCCATTATTTTATGGGAAAAAAAAATACTACAGATACCTGTTTACACCAACCATCTTACCTGAATATTCCTTGTTTGAAAAGATAAGCACTAATATGACCCCCTTCTAGATATCGGATTTCACAACCAGGCCAAATTTCTTGTAAACTTCGAACTCCAGTTCGTGGAATATATGCATCTTCTTTGGCTTGAACTACTATAATGAGGCTTGGGTCTACTGGAACTAGGTACAAGATTTGAAAAAATGCAACAAAATCTCTAAGATTTTTATACAGCCTATTAAATTGTATTATAAAATAAAATGCATCATACAATGTAGTCAGTGAAACATTTATCAAACGAACTCCCTTGAATAAGTTAAAAAATAAACTATTCTAGCCGAGACCGGTTTGGCTCAGTGGATAGAGCGTCAGCCTGTGGACTGAAAGGTCCCAGGTTTGATTCTGGTCAAGGGCATGTACCTTGGTTGCGGGCACATCCCTAGTAGGGGGTGTGCAGGAGGCAGCTGATCGATGATTCTCTCTCATTGATGTTTCTAACTCTCTGTCCCTCTCTCTTCCTCTCTGTGAAAAATCAATAAAATATATTAAAAAAAAAAAAGATGGTCTTATATTTTCATGGATAAAATATGATACATTTAAATAACCAGCTTATCTTGCTAAGCACATTCTGGGGTCAACAATGAATATACTCTTGAATATACAAAGTTAACTTATAAAGTATCCTTAAAAATATTTCACAAATTTAAGCATCATCAAATATTCTCAATTTCATATAAAATTAATACCTGAGAAATTTGCTACATGAGTACATTCATCCATGACTCCTTTCATAAACAGTAAAGATTCTTTCTGAAGATTCTTTCTTCTTTGTTCTTTACTGAGTAGGTGGTATGACTGAGGATTACAACTTGTATAACTACTTTTGTTGGTTGAAAGTGTTTGATTGAAGCACTCCATCTTAGAAGTATCTTTCAACAAGAGTCCTTCTGATGTAGCACTAAAGGATGTTTGACTAGATTTATGGCACTCATCATGTTTCGAGGACACAACCTGGTCAGTCATATCTAAGTTTAAAGTTCTAGAAACCAGATTAAGGTTAGTGATCTTGTCTGCACTGCTAGGGAAGTATTTCACAAACTCTTGTCCCATTTTGAAAGAATCTGTCTGAATATATAAAAGAAAAGAAAACATCATTTAATAAAAAATAGGATGTTATTTAACTTTGTTCAAACAAAACACAAATGTCCATCAACGAATAAAGAGAAAAACAAAATGTTGTACACATACAATGGATCATTAATGAACTTCTGACACATGCTAAAACATGGGTGAACTTTGAAGACATTATGCTAAATGAATAAACAGGCACAAAAAGACAAATATTGCATGATTACATTTTTATGAGGAATCTAGAGTAATCACATTCATAGAGAAAGTAGAAGGGTGCTTGCCAGGACAAAGAGGAGAAGGAAATGGAGTTATTGTTTAACAGGTTCAGAACTTCAGTTTAGGAAAATTGAAAGTTCTACAACTGGATAGTGTTGTTGGAGATGATGGTGGCAAAACAATGTGAATGTACTTAATACTATTGAATGATATATTTAGAAATGGTAAAATGGTACACCTTATGTTGTGTATATTATACCACAATTAAAAATAGAGAAAAGAGATGTCAAAATTTAACTTAGGACTAAGATTTATATTTTACTGCTAAATGTTTCCTACTGAAAAGTAATTAAAAAGTGTAATTTAGTCTGCCTCGTTCTCTTATTGCCAAAGTATGAAAATCCAGATCTACTAAACTTCCAAAAGTCTAATGAGTGTATCCTGGCAGTAATACAATAGCCACTCCAAATCTTTCTCAGGATGAACTAATAAGAATTAAAAATGATCAAGGAATAAATATTGCCTATGAAAAATTTTGAAGTATGAACTCAGCTTAAAGAGCTGTAAATACATCATTTAAATAAAAATAAGCTTTGTCAAATACTAAAAGCAAAATCAAAAGATAAAAATGATAGCCAGAGAAAATATATTTGCATCCTATATGACAAAGAGTGTATTGCTTTAATAAGAGCTAGAGCGAAGGGACAGCCCAAAATCACAATTAAAAAAAAAAAAATGAGCAAAGGATATGCATATATAGTCATAGAAAATAAAATAGAAATTGCTCTTTAACTTACCCTTAACTATGTTCATTCAGAAACTAGTTTGAACACTTAGTTTTTTTTATTTTTTATTTTTAAAAGTATTTTTATTGATTTCAGAAAGAAAGGGGAAGGGAAAGAGATAGAAACATCTATGAGGAGAGAGAATTATTGATTGGTTGCCTCCAGCATGCCCCACACTGGGGATCGAGCCTGCAACCTAGGCATGTGCCCTGACCTGGAATCAAACCTGTGACCTCTTAGTCTGTAGGTAGACCCTCAATCACTGAGCCACACTGAATAGGCAAGAAAAATTTTAAGGGAAAAAGAAAGGGATGGAAGGGAACATATAGATTAAGATACTTATAAGAAATATAAAATAAAAAACTATAGTATCTACCTCTTTCCCCCTTGTCCCTCTTCATCTTGCTCTCCGTCACTCACTCTTTATCACCAAAATAATAACAACAATAATAATAATAAAAATAAAAACAAATGAGCTATAATATCTAGAGATGGACACTTGGATAACAAAATTATTTTAAAGAAAGAAGGAAGTAGTTACTATAAAAATTAGATGATAATAGTAGGGGAAAAGAGCCTTTGATCAGGACACCCGGAGGTGGTGTTCCAGGGATGGGTGGTTAAATTCTGAGCTGAAACAGATTTGGCTCAGTAGATAAAGTATGTCCCAGCAGACTGAAAGGTCCTAGGTTCAATTCATGTCAAGGGAATGTACCTTGGTTGTGGGAACATCCCCAGTGGGGGTGTGTAGGAGGCAGCTGATCAATGTTTCTAACTCTCTATCCTTCTCCCTTTCTCTCTGTAAAAAAAATAAAATATATATATATTTTTAAAAATTCTGAGATGGGTGGTCAAGCTCTATTTTTGACCTATTACAAATGTGTTCCTGTTTAATTAATGTATTAAACCATATTTGCTTCGAATGATTTTCTGTATCTGTTATTTTACTTATCTGTATTTTCTTTTAAAGAATTAAAAAAATAAGTAATATTGCTTTAAAATTTTTGCAATTCTTTTTAAAAAATTGACTTTAAAAAAATATTGACTTTAGAGAGAGTAAAGAAGGGAGAGATAGAGATAGAGAAGGAGAGAGAGAGAGAGAGAGAGAGAGAGAGAGAGAGAGAGAGAGAGAAAGAGAGAGAGAGAGAGATGGATTTGTTGTTCCACTTATTCATGCATTTCATTGGTTAACTCTTTTTTCCCCCCCATTGGCTGATTCTGACTGGGGATCAAACCTGAAATCCTGGCATATGAGGAGATGCTTTAACCAACTAAACTTCCCAACCAGAGCCCAAAATTTGCAATTCTTTTAAAAAATTTGAATTATTAAACACAATCAACCCTCCCTTTAACATAATACAGCAATTAAAAATACTTACTCCACAATATTCAAGCATGTGAATAATTTCTTCCTCATAAACTGTCTGTGCATAATACTGCTTTTCCAACTCCCTCCAATTAATTGATTTACTCAGCACACCCTGAAATAACAAACTAAAGATCAAGTCACACCATAAATTATTTTGTCCAAAAATTGTTATTACTGTGCAGAAGAGTTAACATAGCAGGTTTGAGATTTCCTGTCTTTAGAAAAACCTGCTTATATAAAGGTTGGCCCTTGACTAGATTTTGAGAACTTTACTAATAAACAGTTCTTTATCCTGATGTAAAACTTCCTAATGATAAAGTGGGTCTCTGTGCCTAAATTGCTTATACAAACAATGCAGTTCCTGCTGAACACCTGCTTTCCTTCTGAAATTTTGGTATATGTCAGACAGAGGGCAGCTAAATGAGTCTTGAAAAAAACCTTGGACTTCTGTGCTCAGTGAATTGCTCTAATCGACACAACTTTGCTAATTTGTCACTGCTGGAGGAATCCAATACAGCATGTGAGTCTCCACTGAAAGCTTGTGCCTGGTGTCCTTTGGACTTTGTCCCCTGTATCTTTTCCTTTGCTGATTCTGTACTATACCCTTTTGCTCTAATGAGTCTTAGTCATGAGTACATGCTGAGTCCTGTGATTTTTTTTCTAGTGAATCACCAAACCTGGGGGTAGTTTGGGGAGCCCCCAAAACAATTACCTAAAAGCATATATAACTATCTAAATATTAATTGCAATTAAATTACCGTAGTGAAGACACCAGATGCTGTGGACCAAGACAGACATGGAATCAATGGCATGGGCTTAGGCCAGTTGGATACCGCTAAGGAAGCCATCTGTAATATGGTAACACAGTCAGTTAGAGAGCTGCTGTTTAAAGTTTCTACTCATTAAAATAAAAAATCTGTAATATTAATAAGCACTTTGTGTAGTAGTTGATGAGATAAGACACAAACAAAAAGTCTCTAAACACTCATGAGAATACCTAGCAACCTTTTCAAACTTCCAAGTCATAAATTCAACTACAACATGTAACTTCCCTCTTTGAAAGCTAACTATATATACATATATATAAAAGCCTAAGTGACCTTTACGACCAGCGGGGCAAACTCAATGGTGGTCAGTATACTCTCACAACCAACCTCCTGCAGTCCCTACCCATGACCAGTTTACCCCGCCCCAATCAGAACTGAGTGAGATGCTGGCCAGGCCTAGGGACCCCACCAATGCATGAACTCGTGCACCAGGCCTCTAGTAAAATATATTAGAAAATTTTAAGTAACTTTAAAACTTTTCATAGAGAGCTACTTTCTACTGGGTCAATATAGAGCACACATGCTGAGATGTAGATACACTCATCTAAGTAAATTGCTCAGGTACAGCAAAATTACAACTATAAAATTGCAGACCCTAAAAAAATAGTAATAAAACCAAGAAACATCTGACCCTTGAAGTTGACTAAAAGATGCCAAGAATTTGGTAAACTACAAAACACAACATATAACTGATATAAAATAATGTAATATGTATGCTTAGAGAAGGGAAGAGTTGTTTTGGGTTAGAGGAAATGGCTGTCACTTAGGGAAAATGATAGATGGTGTCATGTCTTCCATTTAAGAAGACAATAGGATTAAAGGCAAGATAGTGAGAAAGCACAGAGTCTTTGTTATAGGGGACCATCCGAAATACGGGGTGGAGCAAAATTAGGTTTAGAGTTGTTTGTATGGAAAATAATACAATAGTTAATAAATAATACAAGAATAAACTTTTTTGCATACTCACAAATGTAAACCTACTTTAAAAATAAATATATATTTTAGCCGGGACCGTTTGGCTCAATGGATAGAGCATCGGCTTGGGAACTGAAAGGTCCTGGGTTTGATTCCGGTCAAGGGCATGTACCTTGGTTGCGGGCATATCCCCAGTAGGGGGTGTGCAAGAGGCAGCTGATCGATGACTCTCTCATCGATGTTTCTAACTCTCTATCTCCCTTCCTCTCTGCACAAAATCAATAAAATAAAAATAAAATTTAAAAAATATATATATATATTTTATTGACTTTTTTACAGAGAGGAAGGGAGAGAGATAGAGAGCTAGAAACATTAATGAGAAAGAAACTTTGACAAGCTGCCTCTTGCACACCCCCTACTGGGTTTGTGCCTGCAACCAATGTACATGCCCTTGACCGGAATCGGAACTGGGGACCTTTCAGTCCAAAGATGGAAGCTCTTTCCATTGAGCCAAACTGGTTTTGGCTGTAAACCTACTTCTGATACACCCTGTACTTCAGCTCAAATTCAATTGTGACATGTGGTCAAGGGATTCAGGAGATTGGTAGGGTGGAAAGATTGATCAAGATTAGATTAGAAGTTCCTTTGTGTTATAGATAATGGGCAATTAAGAGGCCTGAGCAAAGGAGTGTCATGTCAAAGGAATGTTTCAAGGAAATTAAAATGATAGTGGTTTATAGGGCTGATTAGAGATAATCAGATTTGAGGTAGGAAAACCAGTTAAGAGGCAGTAGTCAAGGTGAAATTATAAGGCCCCAATCTAGGTTCTAAAAATGGAAACACTACTAAATAGGAAAAGAAATCCTTTTTCAGCCGGAACCGGTTTGGCTCAATGAATAGAGCATCGGCTTGGGGACTGAAGGGTCCTGGGTTCGATTCCAGTCAAGGGCATGTACCTTGGTTGCGGGCATATCCCCAGTAGGGGGTGTGCAAGAGGCAGCTGACCGATGACTCTCTCTCAATGATGTTTCTAACTCTCTATCTCTCTCCCTTCCTCTCTGTACAAAATCAATAAAAAAAATCCTTTTTCACCCTTCAGTTTTACGGTTTTGTATTTGAGTAAATTCTTGAAGTAATTTTATTAGCTTCACCTCTTTGGTAACCCCTTTGAATTTGAGTAAATTTTTGAACTTAATTTTATAAGTCAAATAACTTACAGCAAATATGTTTTTTAATGTACTGAATGACTACTCAGTTCACATAATGAACCAGAGCATATTCCTGGCTCTCAGTTAATCTACTGCTTCATGGAACAAACTGACTGCTAAATAAGTACAGTGAAATAAGTAGTAATGAGAGATGAAGTATAGACTGGAGTAAGGCTAGGAGTCAGGAGAGCTTGTCATAGGAAGTAACCTCCAAATTGGAACCAGAAGAGCAAGCTGTTATTCTGTTAGGTGGAAGGGACTGGAGGGGCACCAGAAGGGTGCCAGCACCTGACATAGTTACAGACAGTGCAAGAGCAAGCCTTTGGCAGGTGTTAGGTAGGACAGAGCAGAGATCAGATTGAGGAAGATCACTAGGGTGTGGAGAAAAACTTTAAGAAAAAGTTTAAGAGAAAAAGAGTACAAGATAAGCAAACCAAGTATAAGGCCATTTTAGGACACTCTAGAAGACAAAAGAAAGATAGGTTGGTAGTATCAGGTGTAAAGATAAGAGATAAATGAAAAGTATTTTTCAGGCCTAGCCGGTTTGGCTCAGTGGATAGAGCATAGGACTGGGGATTGAAGGGTCCCTGGTTTGATTTCGGCCCAGGTTGCAGGCTTGATCCCCAGTAAGGGTTGTGCAGGAAGCAGCTGATCAATGATTCTCTCATTGTTGATGTTTCTCTCTCTCCCTTTCCCTTCCTCTCTGAAATCAATAAAAAAAATATAAATATATAAAGAGTATTTTCCAAATTAGCTATTTTCATCAATATAACATTTATACTTGAAACTTGAGTAAAGTTACATAATCAACTTTTAATAAAATATCAAATCAATACCTGAGATATTACTGTAGACTAAGTACAATCAGAGTCTACATAAATCATACCAAAAAAATAAAATCATTATTTTATAACTGGAATGAAAGTTTAGAATCTGTTTCTTCTTTCACCAAAACCAAAATTAATTCTATACATAAAGTGAATTTTAAAAGTAACTAGATTTCCCACATGTTATAAACACAATCACAAATAAATATCATTTGAAATGAAAGGCTTACATGTCCTCCCATGGATATTCCGGTCATTCCTAAAGGTCCATAACCCTCCCTCTCCAGCCAGTGCAAGAGAGCTGCAGATTCTAAAACAAGAGCTCCTCCCATCACAAATAGGTCAGACACGTTTTTTAAGCTGGACCTTCTGGCATCACAAAAAAAAAAAAAAATTATTTTAAATATATTTACATTTTTATATGTGAAAATTTACAACAGGCAGTCAAGGTTTATCTTTTTCTTTTAAAGGGAATAGTAGTTGAGTAAAACAATGGACTGAGTTGATGTAATTAAGAGTGCTGCTAATATCGTTCTACATATTAATCACATAACTTATTTTTTTTTAAATATATTTTATTGATATTTTACAGAGAGGAAGAGAGAGGGATAGAGAGTTAGAAACATCGATGAGAGAGAATCATCGATCAGCTGCCTCTTGCACACCCCCCACTGGGGATGTGCCTGCAACCAAGGTACATGCCCTTGACCAGAATCGAACCCGGGACCTTTCAGTCCACAGGCCAACGCTTTATCCACTGAGCCAAACCGGTCTCGGCACACATAACTTATTTTTTAAGTTATATATGCTCTCTAGCATATAATCTTTATTGAATTTCAACTATTTTACTATTTTCAAGTTCAGAAAAGAATCTTATTTATTTGATGGCACTTTAAAAAACTTAAAATACGGGAAAATAGTATTTCATATACTGCCAATTTTATTAAATTACCATGACTGTATAAGGAAAAACAAATTTATAGCTGTCCCCTCTTAGAAAGAACTGATTATAATAGAACTTAAAAGCATAACATTTTTTAAAAAGCAATGTAAGAGTTTAACCTAATATTAGTTTCATGTATTACCAAAATCTTAAATACACAATTTATGAAGACATGCACATAGTTGGCTACTGGATGAATGAAACCTTGCCAAAGTGTACAAAAATTCATTTTATCAATAGTCATTCACTATATGCCTACATAGAATAATATGCAAAGAATAAGGTGCCACAGGAATGCCAAGTTGTTAACAGAATCATGACCAGTGTCCTCCCACATCCTCTCAGGACTCCATGTTTATAAGGCAGGACTTCTCTTTATCAAACACACTAGAGGCACGGTGCACGAATTTGTGCACAGGTGGGGTCCTGCCTGCTTGTGCTGACCTGGAAAAAGAGGTAATGGGAGGTTGGCTAGCCTGCCCTGCCTCCTGGTCAAATGCCGGTGGAAGGGACAATTTGCATATTAGCCTTTTATTATATAGGATGTTATCCTATATCAAAACAGATCATACTCATGCTTCATTATAAAATAACTAATTTATCCTTGTATTTATTTCCTATCCTCATTCTAATTTGCTATTTATGATTACAGAATTCCCCTGATTATTTTCATCTGATACAGAAGTTTGAATTCTTAGGTCTAACTCAGTTTGCTCTTTAAAAAAGTTAATAATGTGAGGTTTTGAGATAATAGCTATATATAACAATAAACCCAGTCTCAAATTATTTAACCACTTTTGACAAAAACAGGCTTAAGATAATTTAAAAGAGGTAATTGTTTATTATTATTTAAATTGCAAGCTATTTCTTTCTTATGATGAATTATTTGAGAAAAATTAAATACATTGGAGCATTATTACATTTTCTGAGTACATAAATGTAACAGGATATTTTATAAACATTACAATTCTCAAAATAAGTTTGCACTAGGGAAATTATATAGTTTTCACACTTTATAAGGTTTGCTTATGTCACACCCCACTTTCATGACCTCTTTTATGGCATGATCTGACAAGTGACTTTAAACCGATCTTTCCACCACTTTCCAACTCCCTATTTGACTTCTCTACTTGCAGGTCCAACAGACATCACAAATATGTTTAAGTCAGAACTTTTGATTTATTACCCACAATAATGAATTTATCAATAGTTCTTATTTTAATTTCTGCTTAAAGTACTCTGAGGTTTCCCACTGTACTTACAGTAAAATTCTAATCATGGCTCTTTCTAACCGAGTTGCCTACCTTTCTGATCTCATCATGCACTACTCTCCAACCTGTTGCTCACATTGTGCTTTTCATTTACTCTTCCTTCTCTGAGGCTGATCTTCCTCCAGGTGTTCACCCCAGTGGCTCCTTCTTGTTACATCATGTCCTCATAACTAATACTGCTCCATCCCTGCACCCATATTTTATTACTCTTTATCCCATTGCCTTGCTTTATTTCTTTATGGTATTGATAAGTACATAAATTATCTTATTTATTTTTATCTCTCTCCCATACTAGAATATAAGCTCTGTGAAAGTAAGGACCTTGTCTTTTTGTTGCTGTCTTCCCAGTGTCTAGGATCAAATATTTCTTGAATGAATCAAAACTAAAGATAACACAGATTATAAAAATGCAAAAAGTACTGCCTTCGAAAGTTGATCATTTTAAAAGACCAGGAAAAGAAAGTTTACCTATATTATGCATTGCAAGAATAAAAATAATAGTGTTTAAAAAAAATAATAAGTATTTCACAAAATGAATGTACTTTTCCTTTTAAAAAGAAACATGTTTTATAATTTTTTCAGTTAAAGTTTTACAAATAAATTATATCTTCAGTCAACCTATTAAAATTTATCTCTTTACCATACATTTAAAATGCAAAAAGCTTAAAGTAAAAATTAAAGTTAACATTCCTACTATAATTTTATAAAAGAAATTTCCCCACAATAACACTTGGAGATTAAACTTTGAAATGGTTAACCAAAAACTTAAATGTTGCTGAAAATTCAGTATAAAGACTGCAAAAATAAGGTGATATATACTTACATTTGATCCTTGGGTTTCCTGCAGCCATTTAATATTGTGGGTCAAAGAGAAAGTTTTAAAATAATTAAATATTCTCTGGTATCAAAACACATTAACTTAAAGTTGAAGACAACTTAATACTGAAATAACTATTTTATAGTTATCTAAAATATGCTGCTTAGAAGTTCTCAGGTTTTTCAAATGCTTTTCTTTTTTTTTAGAGCTTTAATTTTATTTTATAATTTTTATTTATTTAAAATATATTTTATTGATTTTATTGATTGATGATTTAGAGAGGAAGGGAAAGGCAGAGGGAGTTATAAACATTGATGAGAGAGAAAACATTAATCAATTGGGGATGCGTCTGCAACCAAGGTACCTGCCCTTGACCAGAATCTATCCTGGGACTCTTGAGTCCACCGGCTGATGCTCTATCCACTGAGCCAAACTGGATAGGACTATTTTATTTTTTAAATAATTTATTAGTATCGGTATTATTTTGATTAGAGTGAATGGGAGGGCAGGAGTTGGAGAAAGATAAAGAAACTTCAATGTGAGACACACTGACTGGTTACCTCATGCACACAGGATCAAACCTGCATACCAGATACACGCCCTTGACCAGGAATTGAACCTTATGGTTTGTGGGCAGATGCTCTAACCACTGAAGACATAAGACAGGGATAATAATTTTTTTTCTTTTCTCTTTTTGGGACTAACAAGTTATTTTAAAGAATTTTTATTGATGTTTTAGAGAGGGAGGAAAGGAGGGAGAAACACACCCACATTAATGTGAGAGAGACATCTATTGGTGCCTCCTGTATGCGCCCTGGGGATGGAACCCGCAATCAAGGTATGTGCCCTGATCGCTCTGGTACACAGGATGATGCTCAAACCAACTCAGCCACACTGGCCAGGGCTAAACAATTTATCTATTTGAAGTGTACAATTCAATGTTTTTAGTATATTCATTGGGTTGTATAGTCTTCAACTTAAGTTTATTGGAATTTTTCATTTATATTATTATAGAATACCTAGAAGCCCTGGCTGGGTTGCTTAGTTGGTTAGAGCATCACCCCTATACACTAAGGCTGAGAGTTCCATCTCTAGATTCCATACAAGAAAGCAAGTAATGAATGCATAAATAAGTGGAACAAATTGATCTCTCTCTCTCTCCCCCTCTCCCTCTCTTTCCAAATTCAATTCTCTCCAAAATCAATTTTAAAAAGTTCAGAAAATACAGAAAGGATTAGAAAAAATTTACTTTATCTAAAGACAACTACGTCAATATCTTGGTGTATTTTTCCTAGTACTTTTTCCATAGTCTTTTAAATGGGTTTTGTTTTTAGGTTTTTTTTTGTATACCTATATCATACCATAGAGTTATATATCCCACTTTTACACTATAAATACATACATTGCTGTAAACTTTAAAAATACTAACCGAACACAGTATTTAGCAGGCAATGTTCTAGACAGTATTAACTCTGTAATACTCTGAATAACCTGAGACTAATACCATTGCCAACAAAAATATTGATGTTCTAAAATATTAGGTTAACAAGTCCATGGTCATACAGGCAGTAAGTGGTAAAACAATAAACATTACAGAACCAATTACATAATATTACAATATTATGAACCAGTTTTCTCAACCATGTTGCTATTGTTGGACATTCAAGCTATTTCTAATGTTTTACTATTATAAAGTTATACAGATATCTTTTCTCTTTTCTATTATTTTCTCTCTTTTTAGTATGTTACTCTTAAAATAAATTTCTCAGAATGATGTGAAGCTTTTTAAGGCTCTTAATTCAATGTGTTAAAATTTCCCAAGGGGTTGAGCTGATATTCAGTAAACAGTAATGAGAGTGCCCATTTCACAACAGACTCATGAATTTTATGTTTTGTTTTTAAAATATTTGTTAATTGTTGCTTTAACTTTACATCTCTCTTATTACCAGCAATGTTGAGCATTTCATTATATTTGTGCATCAGTTTCGTTTCTTCTTCTGGACATAGTCTGACGTCATCTTGAAAATTAAGTTAAGAACTCTTCTAAACCTCAACTGATACTTAACTGTAAAGCACTGTAAAGTATTTAAAACATAAGCATTTCCTTAATAACAAACATTTGACTTAATATTAAAATGCAGCATAAAAGAAGTCTCACAAGAAACAGAAGTACCGTTTACCTTTATTATACAATAGAAACACAATCCTTACTTTAGTTTTCAAAAGGCTTGAAGGCTTTTTAAAAGTCTGACTGCTCTTTAATCTAAAAAGTAATTTTTCACTTCACTCTTTAAGTATTTTTTGAATTGATGATTAAGTTTACCTGATTTAGAAAAGTTGGCTACTACCTATCATTCCTTTGGATGACTAAATCTATAAATATATAAGAGAAAAGACTTCTAGGTATCAAAAAAGGATATAATAAGGGTTTTCTAATAACAAAGAAGCCATTCCAGCTTCTTTAATCATAGGACGAGCCATCAGTGTTCGTCGTCTCCAGTAATGCTAAGGAAAGAAAAGATGACACACTTAAAGAATATAATAATCACATCTAATAAGGACAATATGTAGACAAAATTAGGTATTAGATATCATAATAAAGTCTTACATGATCTCCTGTTCCAGCAAGATGAATGCATACGGGTCTATATTTGCTATTCCATTCTTTAGGCACAATAAATTGGAACCTATTTAAAATAAAGCACCTCACTGAATTATCTTTTAAAGGCTTTTAATACAAACTTTCAATGCTTAAAAGTTTAATAATTAAATTATTTAGGAAAAAAGTCTTCAGAATTTTGATATTAAAACTGTAATTAAGTATTTAATATTTGCCTAAAGGCAAAAAAGATACTGTAAATTTGCTTTATGTTAGGATAGTAAAATGCTCAATTATCATACAGACACAGAATTTATTGTAATCATTTTTTACCTTGTTCAATACCACAACTTTATAAATGCATAATAAAGTTTTCTCATTCTAGAAACATTAATGTATATGATTAAGTCTTAGAAAACAGTACTCTTTAGGCTCTGACTGTATTCTCAGGCAACAAGAACTGCTTTTCTGCTCTGGTCAGAGTGGCTTGGTTGAGCATTACCTTATGCACCAAAAAGATTCCCAGCCAGAGCACATGCCCAGGTTGCAGGCTCCATCCCCAGTTGGAGGAGGGAGAGATAGAAACATCAATGTTAAGAGAGAATCAATGATTGGCTGCCTCATGCACATCCCACACCGGGGACTAGGGATCAAACCTGCAACCTGAGCAAGTGCCCTGCCTGGGAATAGAATCACAACCTCCTGGCTCATAGGTCAATGCTTAACCATTGAGTCATGCTAGCTGCACTGGGTCTTTTTTCTTTATCCATTCAACCATTCCATGTCTTCTTTTCGTTGGAGAACTTAACCCATTTATATTTAAAGAAATTGATTGGTATGGATTTACTATAGCCATTTTGTTCATTGTTTCTTCCTGTCCTTATGACTTTCTTCTTTATTTTTTTTCTCTTCGTTTATAACTTGACTAGGGGCCGGGTGCACAAAATTCAACCCTCAGCCCAGTCCCATTACCCCCCTGCTGCACCCACTGCCAGCCACCTCAGCTGCCAAGATGTTTTCATCAACACGGACCCCAGTCCCTTTATCACAAAAAAATGACAACTTCCTTTAGGATTTTCAAGATGTGTCTTTCAGAAGATATGACATTTCTTTCTTTCTTTTTTTAATCCTCACCTGAGGATATATTTCCATGGATTTCACAAGAATGTGGAAGAGAGAGGAAGAGACAGAGAGAAACATCAATGTGAGACACTTTGATTGGGTGCCTCCTGTATGAGCCCTGACCTGGGCCCAGCCAAGGAGGAGCCTGTAACCTAGGTACATGCCCTTGATCAGAATCAAACCTGGACCCTGTGGTTGGCAGGCTGAGACTATCCACTGAGCTGAACCACCTAGGGCAGGATGTGACATTTCTTAGCCCTCTAGCAACGGACCTTTGTTTTTTCCTCCAGGTGGGAGGTGGAAAAACCCTGGATCACCTTCTTGGATTCTTACAACCCAAGTTACCAAGAACAGTGCAAGTGGCGGTGTACAAGGAGCTTAGCAAATGAGCAGTCAGAAAAGGTGTTTATGTTTGAACTGGTTTGGCTCAGTGGATAGTGTTGGCATGCAGACTGAAGGGTCCCAGGTTTGATTCCTGTTAAGGGTATGTACCTTGGTTGGGGGCACATCCCCAGTAGGGAGTGTGCAGGAGGCAGCTGATCAATGTTTCTCTCCCATTGATATTTCCAAGTGTCTAACCTTCTCCCCTCTTTTCTGTAAAAAATCAATAAAATATATTTAAAGGTGTTTCCTCTGTAGCTCATGCGCAGAGGACCCACTGCATTGTGTCTACTGGACTAGGGGCATGTGTTCCCACAGCCCAGGGGTGGGAGTGGAACTCGCGACCCCTCCCCCCAGTCCAGTAGCTAGCCCTGTGTTGTGGGTGCCAGCCTGGGGGGAATGTGCAGACTCTGGACGTGCAGTGGCCACCGGGTCTGCACATGACCCTAAGGCCAGCAGCCAGCTCCATGTTGTGGGTGCCTGGCTGGGGGCACAAACATAAGCAGTCATGCCGCCCGCAGTCGCCTGGCACCTGTGCCCAAAGACCCAGAGTGACTGGGGGCATTCTGTAACCTCGGCCACTCAGGGCCTACGCACGGGCCTATAGGCTAGGAGCGGCCTGGGATACAAGAATATTCCTAGGACCCAGCCGCTCGGTGACTGTGTATGCAAATTAACCCACCATATTTGTCAATTTACTTTGCATAGTCACTCTTGATTGGCTGATGAACGTAGCAGAGGTATGGTCAATTTATGTTTCTCTCTCTTTTATTTTATTTATTTTTAAATCTTTATTGTTCAGATTATTACAGCTGATCCTCTTTCCCCCCCCCCCATAGCTCCCCTCCACCCAGTTCCCACCTCCCCATGGCCTTACAACCCCCCCCCCCCCCCACTGTCCTAATCCATAGGTGTATGATTTTTGTCCAGTCTCTTCCCACACCCCCTATATCCTTTTCCCCCCAAGGATTGTCAGTCCACTCTCTTTCTATGCCCCTGATTCTATTATATTCACCAGATTATTCTGGTCATCATTTTTTTTCCCTTTGAAATTGTCTTTATTTCTGATCATTTTTTTACAATCATCCACTCTAGGATTCATTCCCACACAAGAAGCTCAAGCCCAAATTCTGACCCTCCCCAAGCAAATGAGATTCATGTTTCTGATTGTAGGACACTTTGCCTTTGAGATCCCATGAACTGCCCATCTTTTATCCCTGCAATCCTGTACCATGGCTGTGTCCCTCCCTTTCCCCATTCACACTGATCATGAACCTGAAACATGGGGTGGCCTCTGTACAATGCACCCTGGTCTGAGGTTTCAGCTTTGAAAGGCCCGGAAAGAAGCTCAGGTGCACCCACTGAGTAGAGTCATTACAGGGGAACAGCACAGGATCCAGTCATGAAAATGCCACATCGTAATATTCCCTATGGCCACAGGGCCTGGTGGCAAGCAGGATGGTTCTGGGCTGCCTAACTCCATCAATATCCCTGTCAGCTCAGCCCGGACCTGGTCAAGTCTGTCCTGGTTGGCAGTCCCCTGGGTCGTGTAACACTCCAGGAGAACGGGGTACAGCTCCAGCTCTAAGCTGCGCAGCCCAGCTGTATGGCACAACAAGTATGCCACCATCTTGGTTTCTCAATTTTTTTTTCTTTTAAAAGGGGGTTTTCCCATGCCCTCGGCTCCTCATGAGTTTTATTTATTTAATTTTTAAATATATTTTATTGGTTTTTTACAGAGAGGAAGGAAGAGGGATAAAGAGATAGAAACATGGATGTGCTGCAACCAAGGTACATGCCCTTGGGATTGAATCTGGGACACTTTAGTCTGCAGGCCGATGCTCTATCCACGGAGCCAAACCAGTCAGGGCTATATGATTCTCTTTTATTATAAAGGATGACTTTCTGTAGTGATATAATTATATTTCTTTATCTTTCTCTTTTGTTCAGACATTATTAATTTTAGTTCTGTGATTACCATGAAACTTATACAAAAAGTATTTATAACAGTACTAGAGGTCCAGTGCACAAATTTTTGCACTTATTGAGGGGGGTCCTTGGGCCTAGCCTGTGGGATCTAGCTAAAGCCAGCTCTCCAACATCCCTAGGGGGGACCCAGATTGTGAGAGGGCATAGCCAGGCCGAGGGACCACACCGGTGCATGATCGGGGCCAGGGAGGGACATGGGAGATTGTCCAGCCAAGGAGGGAAGGAGGAAGGGGAGGAGGAAGGAGGAGGCGGGCTCCAGGGCATGTTAGGCCCATCTCACTCAGTTCCAATCGGCCAGACCCCAGCAGCAAGTTAACTTACCGTTCAGAGCATCTGCTCACTGGTGGTCAGTGCATGTCATAGTGAGTGGTTGAGAGGCCTTAGCATATCACTAGCATATTACACTTTGATTGGCTGAACAGCCTATTGGTCGATTGGACACTTAGCATATTAGGTTTTTATTATATAGTATATTTTCAGTGGATAACAACTTAAGTTCAAATGCATACTAAATATGTCAAAATAATAAAGCTCTATAATTTCACTCTCCACCCACCCCATGTATAATGGGAATAATGTCACATAATTATTATAATTAACATTAAGTAATTTCAAATAAGATGGCATTGATATTGTTATAATTTAAATTAACATAAACAACTTAGTACTTTAACTTTCTGAATAAAAATTCTTACCTTGCAATAATAGATTCAACTGGCATGATATCAGGCACATAGTGGGCCATAGGGGAAACAAAGTGTCCATCTAGGATCTTACAGTCTGACTGATCTTCAATCTTAAAGAAAAACAAAACTAAGATTTATACATGTAAATGAAGATACCTTGGTCTGTTATAGATTTACTGGAGGTATGGTG